GGTGCATTTTTTTCAATCTTTAGATCTAATCACATTTCTGATTTAAGGGTTTTCTATTGTCATCAGCCTTATGTATTAAGGAAGTAATAATAATAGCTTACAATTGTATAGCACTTCTACTTTGCCACCTAGCTGTTTCTAAATAACTAGCAAAGCAGTTATAGCAGTTAGAATAAGATCTAAATTGCTTGCTTTATCAAACCAAACCATTTTGATCCTTTAATTTTATGCCAAGAAACTGTTTTGTTTCTCTCAAAAACTTAAGCATATTTTAATAATTGCCAAGCAACTGGAAAACGTTATGGAACATTCAGCTGTTATACTTAGTATTGTTATTTTTAATGTTGATAGCTTGGTAGATTTTTTTAATAGCTTTATCCTTTAGTATCCTTAGATTTTTATTTAATACAATACTAATTTTGTGCCTATTTATTCATTATGGTGACTTTTTTATTCTGTAATAGATTACTCTATATAGCATATCTTTGGGCTTTAACATGTAGCATTAAAGCTATAATTTTTTTTTTGCTAAAAGATTATTCTAACATTAATTTACTAAAAAAAAAGACTTGGATTAAGCATTTTAAGGTTACCTGTATGTGTACTACACATTCACAAATCAGTATGTAATAAATTTTAAATTTTACTTGTACAAACTCAGTTTATTAGCGGTAGGTTCAAGTATTATCAATTTATGAGTAGCAACAGCAAAAGAAAATTAGGTAAGCTGAGTGATAAGATGAGGCCCATCATTGCATAGGCAAATATTCTTCAAGAGAACAGTCCTTTTCCATATATCCTTTTTTATATTCATAGCCTAATACAAGACCCTCTAGGCCCTCAAGTGTGGCCCTTTAACTGAATCTAAACTTCACAGAATAAATCCCCTTAACAAAAAGATTTGTTCCATAAAACTTGCTCTAAAGGCCACGCCCAAGGACTTAGAAAGCCACATGTAGTTCCTAGGTAAGCAGGTTCCCCACTCCCTGCCTAATACATAAATATGAAATTCAATCAGATTGTAAACTCTGGTACCCACATAAAACTTGCAGAGATCTTTCCATTTGTCTTTTTTAGAGAGAATATGCGGGGGGGGGGGGGGGGGGGAGGCCAGGGAACAACCACTACAGGATCTAACTATTCCTACAGTGGAGATTCAAGAGGAATAATTTAGGAATAATAGATGGCATTTATAGAGCACTTTAAAATTTTCCAAGCACGATTACTTATGAGTGAACAGATTCAGTAAACTGACTTGCCCATGATCACACAGTTAATGTCAGAAGACAGATCAACAATATTTAGTGTGTAGGCCCGTGGTGCTGAAGGTCAGTCTTTCCTGAGTCTTTGATAGAGTTTGATTTTAATCATTTGTCTTAACTCAGAGCAAGAAATCTAAAATTCTTACCCCCTACTAGCAACAGTAACTCTTCTGTGTGCATAGTGTATTATTAATCTTGGGGTTAACAAATACCCTGACAAATTTGCAATGTAAATTAGTTGCTAGGGGAACCATGACTTTTGACTACTAAAAATGGACTCCAAAATTTATGCTTTTCCATTGTTGAGAAAAATCAAATGAAAAGGGCAGTTTTTCCTTCTTTCATTTTCGAATCTCTCCCAAAAGACTAAGAATGTGTCGTATCTAGACCACTGTCAGCCTATACTATCTGTACAGTCAGATTACAACTGAAAAAAGAATGGCAATTTAGTTCTGCTACTTACTTGGGAAACCTCATGAACTAAGTACATACAGCTTTTAGTATCCCAAAAGTAATGGGGCAATTAACTTAATTGCTTATTCTGTATCCTTCATTAAGCCTTGGGAAAAGACATGGCTTAACTTTCTGAAAGTTGCTTGAAATTCAGACCAAATTCTCTAACTGTCTTGGGAGATGTGTACAAAACATCTCATATTCATCACAGTAAATTCACTCAATCTCACTCATCGGGGACATTTATCAGATTTCCTAACACACAGGTTATACATGCAACTAAGAATTAATTATTCTTAGTATCATATCACATTTTCTATTTGAGGGATCAGTTTAATGAAAGCACCTCCAGCCCATTTCCAGAGGTCAGCTGTGTAACTATGGGCAAGACTTTTAACCTCTCTGAAACCTCAGTTTCTTCCTCTGTAAATGAGAAAGCTAGACGTAACATACTTCTGCAGGCTTGTTGTGACATAACATGTGAGATAGTGTATTTTACAAACTGTGAAGTATATATAAATGCCAGCTGCTATTAAGTAACAGGGTTAGAGCTTTGGAAATTATGCAATTTTTTCCATCTCCTTAACACATGTGGCTTGTCTTTTACACCTGTTTAATTTATTTTCAATTGAAGGAATCAAAGATTTTTACTTAGTTGGATTCGGTATTAATATTGAATACATCTGAAAGTTTCCTATTCCACTGGAGGGGTCATGATCAGCATTTAAAAAGAGTAGTCTAGTACTTTGCTGCAGCAGGTCTTGGAGAGAGCAAGCTACTCAGTAAAATGACAAGAGGCTTGTCCAAAAATGCTCCTCAAATTCACAGAAATGTCTCCTTTAGCTGTCAGAGAATGGTGGCTATTATGTTTACCATGCCACTAGCAGCATTTCATTCTAACAGTCCTACATCAGTCACCAAGCATAACTAAAGCTAAAGCTACTCCTAAGGGGATCATTAAAAGCACTAGATTTTTTTCTTTTTTTTTTTTTTTTTTTTTGGCATAATGGAAAGTTGAGTCTTGGGTCACTTTGGACCAAGGGGATTAAATTGAAATTTTAAACTTGGTTAAGAATAAAAAATATATTCTTGAAAAGCTGTTGGCCAAACTTAGCAGATCACCAGGGTTGAGAGGTTGATGAACCTAGACTTCTGAGTTCAAATCCGGCCTCAGACATATAATACTTCCTAGCTGTGTGACTCTGGGCAAGTCACTTAACCCCAATTGCCTCACTAAAAAAATAAATAAAATAAAATGAGCACTCTTTTCAGCTGTTTCTTAGGGTGGTTTTGAATAGTTCATAACCAGTTTGATTACCCATTCAGTAAAGGAGTCAAGCTGATTCTTTATCAATAGCCATCACATCCAAATCTAAGCTCTCCCCATAGAAAATGATGGATTTCATTTTCCATACCTAAGTCAGTCATAGCAAATGTTATTTTTCTTTTGCTCTAGTGTGCTGCCAAGAATTCTGCAGCAATGATAGGTAGAAAGCAGATAAAAATGATTTCTGTGTCAGTCTGACTAAGCAGTATTTATTGGTCAGCAGTATCGCCTCTCTGCCTCGACAGTTTTTGTTGGTAGAAGATACTTTGGGAGCCACCTAGATTGCATTTAGTCATCATATGTTTTGATTCTAAATTATCATTGGAAATTTAATTGGAAAAAATACTTCACTTACTGATTTTAACTATAGTCCATCATTTGTTTTTTGTTTGGTAGTCAAGAATAAATTGTACAGATATAGAATTTAGTATAGCATGTCTCAGATACAAGGTTTGTATCCAATAAATCACTTGACTTTAGAACCTCTTAAAATTCTTTATCAGTAAAATAAGCAGTTTAGAATAGATGTTCTCAAACATCCTATGATTCTCTTCATTGATAAAAATATGAAGAATCAAATAGGTGGTAAGCTGTACATTGAAGATATGCCTGAAATTAGGCTGCTGTTCTTAAAAATGGCATGCTGCAGACTTGGTTGTAGATCATCAGACCTTGAACCCTAGAGTTAAAAATAAACAAATGAGCAGTTTGTGTTGGACTTAACTGGCTGGGTCACCTTGGGTCATTTTATCTATCTGATTTCAGTTTTCCTCATCTGTAAAATGAGGGTGCTAAGCTAGGTGATTGTTAAGGTCCTGTCCAACTCAAAGATTCTGTGACCCTATTCAGCATCCATCTGTTATTTAAATAATTTACAAATATTCATGTCCAGCCATTAAACTTATCTACAAGATTTTAGGCTTTGCTATCTGGATTTGCCATTGGTGTTAGTGGAGACCGAATAGTTGGCACCTTACAATACCATTGTAGACTTGGAGAAGAAATTTGGCTCTCTACTTAGTTGATACTTTTTTTTCATTGCCTCAATTTATTACCTTAATCAACAATTTCTAAAATGCCCAAAAATTTGAAACAAAGTTTTGTGCTTACTAGCTAGCTTTTATATGTGTACAAGTCTATGCCTGTAATGTATCTTGAATATGGAAGGAGAGAAATTTTTTCCTAAGTGTTGGTGTTTATTAAATAAGCTGTAGTATTTGTTTTGGGGCAGCTTAACAGGCTGTCTTTCTGATGCAGGGTCATGGGATTTTTAGCTAGAAGAGATCTTAAAGATCATCTAATTCAACCCCCTTATTTTACAGATGATGAAAACTGAGGTCAGGATGAAATGACTTTGTCCAAGGTCACAATAATGGAAACAGCTGAGCTAGTATTTGAACCCAGATCCTCAGATTCAGGGCTCGTTCCACTATATCATCAGTCTATCAGCAGGCATTTATTAAGCACTTACTATGGGTTAGGCCCTGGGAGTACAAAGACCAAACTAACAGTCCCTGCCCTCAAGGAGTTTATATTCTAATGGTGACATAAATAAGAATATACAAAATAAAAACAAGGTAAGTGGAGAGCAGGGAAGAAACATAGCTTAGGGGTTAGGGAGATCTTCATGTTGAAGGTATTGACTGAGCAGAGTTTTGAAGAACATGAGATTCCAAAGGTGGAGGAAGGCTAGAAGTGCATTCCAGGCATGGGGAACAGCTATTGAAAAAGCATGGAGATGGGAAAGTGGGTGTTGTGTTTTAAGAAGGGCAAGAAAACCAGTACCTTGTTTTTCCAGCTATAAAATTAAGATTATATACAGAAATATTTTAAAGATTAGTGTATACTCAAGTACATAAAGTCCATTTGTTCTTGAATGTAGAGTATTGAGATGTTCTATTAAAAGAGTAACTTTTCATATAACTTCCATTATATTCTTCAATTTGTTTTTATTTCAGGAACAAGAGCTAAATGCTCGAACACGTGCACTACAGGCTGCTTCTGCTTCCTGTTCCTTTCGGCCCAATGGATTTGATGACAATGACCCTCCAGGAAGCTGTGGACCAACGGGGGGAGGGGGAGGGGGAGGATTCAGTACGATTGGCAGGCTAGTTTTTTGATCTGAAAAAGGAAAAGTCCAATCCTGAATGCACTGATTATAAAACAGCATCCAATACTTCTTATTATGACTGTTAAAACGTCAGATTGTATCAAACATATCTAGTTTTATTTTCTTTTTCATTTGATCCCTATACTAAGAACCTACCCATTACTTGTTTTTATTTTCTTGACAATACATTTATTTATTAACAAAGTGCATCATGGAAAAAATCTACCTCTTAAAAGTCCATTTACTTTTATGGTTAGACATGCTTGACCAAAAGAAAACATAAAACTTTCAAAGAAAATATATACATGGCCCCTAATTAAGCTGCATTAAATTTAGTAGAGGCAGTTAAACTGTCCTGATCCTATTCATACTGAGCAAAAGACAATTTATTGTCCTTTTGAAAAGAAATCTGCATTGAACCAAGAAATGAGGAGGAGAGGGTGGGAAGAGGTTTGAAACATATTTAAATGTATCATACGTAGTTATCCCATCATTAAATTTGTACATCCTTGAAAATATCAGAGGTGATGCAATCTATAATGAAGGCAATAACTTAACATTTGTCCTGCTTTCCAGATTAGTGCTCTTCAGAGACATTTTATTTACATTTCAAATACAAATGTTTAAGGAAGAACATTTATAGATATTTGCTAAATTGATTTCAGAAAAAGAGTGCATGGTCCTGTAGGAGCAAAATTTTTAACTAGAATTTGCTAACTTTGTAGTATTTCTAATTGTTTAAGGATTTTTAAATTCTATTTCAGGGAGTATATCTGCTTCGTGTTTTGAAGGAGGTGGGTTCTGTATGTGCCTTGCAGTACTGTAATTAAAAATGTGAGTCTTTGGCTGCAGAAAATTTAAAGAACATGAAACCTTAGAATTAACTTTTTTTGTGTTGATGGTATTAGAATTATAACTTTTTGAAAGGTATTAGATTTTCCAGAAGTAAAATCTGGTGGTTCTAAAAAAAAAAAAAAGAAAAGGAAAAAAAAAACATTTGGTAGTTTATTTTAAACTCCTAAAAGAATTCAGAAGAAATTATTCTAGGAAAGCATAATTTTTTTGAATTGCATTAACCAAACAAATCTCGAGCATTAAACATTGATCCAAAATTTTTGGAGCTGTAAATTTGTTTTATTTTTGGTTTAGATCTCATCTCTATGTGTTATATATTTATATCTCTGTAGTAGTCTTGAAAAGGGCAAGAGTATGGACTTATTGTCCTGTATCTTTACCTATCAAAAGCTCAAATCAGTATTTCTGCTTTCTTACTCTACACAGAATTTAAAATATTTATTTTTTAAAAGTAATCTTCCTGCTATGTTCTTATGATTTGATTGTTTCATCTACATTTGCTTTGAAAACAGCTTAAGGGAAGAATGAAGTTGGGGAATTGGGCTTTGACTTTTTTCCCTTTGTTTTATTACAGTTAAGTAAAAAGTCCAAGTTTCCAGAGAAAGGGAAAGAGCCCAAAAAAAATTGGTTTGAGTTAAAGTCTGGAAATATTTTTGCAGAATTAATTGTTGTTGAGAGACAGCATGGCATAGTGGATAGAGACTGGCTTCTGAATCAAGAAATATGAGTTGAGGTCCATCCTCTGACATATACTTGATTTTGTGACCTTAGCCAAGTCATGTAACTTCTCAGGGCTCCCCAGACAACTCAAGACTCTAAGTTACACAGCATCTGCTGTTATAGATTGGAGGAAGTCCCTCACTGGGAATTTTCCCCTACAAAGATGAAAAACAGCAGTTCTGTCAAAACTCTGCATTACTTTTCTTTTAAGGTGAATGAGTTGCCTGGGATTTTATTATTCATCTTTACTATAGGCTTGAGCCTCTAAAGATAACTACGGCAAAATTGTACATGCATTAATATTTGTGATTTGTGACAATAAGAAAATGAATTGTGAGTAGAGGCTTCCTCAAAGAATTATTTCATGGCCCAGGTTTGATAGAAAAGCATTTGAACAGGAAAGACCATGAACATCTTTACTGTGGAGATTTCCTATCCAATCCATACTTTCCACATTGTCCACAGGTGACAAGATGACACTGTCCTCCTGATTAGGTGAGGGTTGTTGTTGTAATGGTGGGTTAATTGGTTTGTTTTTGGAGAGGGAGGGGAAGGCAATTTAGATGCAAGCAATTTTTTTTTATAGTTCTGTTGCAGCCAACTTTGAATCCTACTTTTCCAAGTAAATTTTGACATGAAAATAAAGAATTTATATCCAGTGAGCTAATGTATGTAAAGAGCATTGTAAACGTTAAGTATTGTATAAATGTCAGCAATATCGAAGGCTTGGGATGAAGATTAAGAAATATGTCCCCATCATAAATGCTGCTGGTGAAAAAATTGACTTTAAAGTTTACCAAAATTATAAATGCATTGTTTGGATTTCCAAAGTATAAATGAGTATGTCATTTATATTATAAACTTTGACCTTTATTACTGAGACCATTCAAAATAATAGTAGAACATGAATTTAACTTTGAAGTATTACAGAAATTAACATCAGTTTCTACAAATATTGTCTAGAAAAGAATTGGCTCCAGAATTATTGGAAACAGTTCATAAATGAGGAATTGGTTATAAGTAGATAAGACATATATTTTGGACAATTTACTACTCCCTTCAGTGATTTACATATAAATTATTTATAAGCAAGGGAATATTGGTGCAAAGAATTATTTCTCCTCCTCCTGATCATTGTACTTTCCTTCCCTTCTTCCACAAGCTTCCTTCCCGATAGGCTCCTCATATAGAGTTGACCAGATAAAGATAACAAGTTAACATTTCTCTTTAGTTCAGCCGAAGGTATTCCTTTTGAATAAATGAGGCTGATTTCTCCCCATATGGAAATCCCTTTGTTTTCAGTGCCTACCAAAAGACAGAAATCTAGATTTTGTCTTTTTCAGAAGCATCTGACATACAGTGAAAGCAAACTTTGTTCAATGACTCTGAGAAGGAAGGAAATATTACTTGACACAAGGTGTAAGGGCTGAAGTTTCCCACTAAATTGTTGTCCATGCTGTGCTACTTCTAAACCCTTTAGAGGAGGGCGGTACTGTGTGGCATGTTCCTGGCCAGACCTTATCTTGCACGTAAAGTCACCTTCCAAACCACTCGCCGTGGGGAGCCCCCCCCCCAGGTGTTAGAGGTACAACCTGGACCTGCACTTGAAACCTGACTTTTTTCACCCCCTAAAGTTCAGGATCCCAAGTTCCAATTTTTAGAGTTACAAAGGCTCACATCATATGATTGTGGGCCCCAGTCACAACTTGGTTAAAGCAATTTAATAAGGTCTTACGTTTTCTAGGCTCACAACTGGGACAAAAATTTAAGAACTGATCACGAAATGACTTTCATTTCTTCTTTATTTCTGTATCTTTATATTCCTGTGTCATTTTATTTTTCTGACTAGTATTACATAGGATCCATAAGCTAAAATAATAGTGAATGTGTACTTTGAATAAGTTGAAATTCAATCTGAAATGCTTTTTGTAGGTTTTTACTTTGACAATTAAAGAATCTGTATTCCTCAGTAAGGGTGCTCCGTCCACTCCAGTAAAGTTCTTAACCCTGTTTTAAATATCCATCATCACCTAACAGCCACTCTGTGGTGTTTCTTTAAAAAAAAAAACTCACAGGCTTATTTACTGGAGTGGACAGTTATCCATGACTGCAGCAAACTAATTTTAGTTTTGTGTTCTTTTTCTTATTTTTCAATGTCTTATACCTTTCCGTGACTTTGCTAACTTTAAAGCACGATACAGAAAGATTTTAAAATACAAGATGTTGTGAGGTGGGTAGTATTTTATATCAGTAAATAATGACAGCTTTATACAACTCTGGGAGGAAAATTGGTCTCTGAAAAAAAGAATCTGCTGCTACCTCAGTTTTGTCATTTGTAAAATAAGAGTTGAACTAGATTACCTCTCAAATCAAGTTTATCTCACTGGGTTGTTGTAAGGATCAGATAACACTTCAAGCCATTTGTAGACCTATTGAGTCCCTTCAGTTGTATTCTGTCAAATATTTATTGGCCTCTTATGTGCCAAGTACCTGTGCTGGAGATACAATGAGTGAAACTCCCTATGCTAATGTGGGCTTACATTCTAATGGGGGAGACAAGCACACATGAAAGCATAAATATAAATATGTACATGGTAGATTGGTAGTTTGCAACTAATAGTTGCAGAGGATCAGGAAAGGCTTCATGTACATTGGGAACAGTACTAAGGCCTACAGCTTTAGAGGCTGAGGAGTGTTGATTGGATTCTAGGAGAAACAGATTTAATTGAAGGGGGTAGGGAGTCCACAAGGTCAGATTTGCCCTTAAGGAAAATTACTTGAACTACAGTGTGTTGGATGGGTGGTAGTAGGGAAGAATAGAGACTAGGAGACCAATTAGGAGGAGGATGTGAGATGGCCTGAGCTAAGGTAGTAGCCATGAGAATGAAAACCAAGATTGGGCCAGTGGATGTTCCTCCACCCTTCCCCCATGATAGCACTCCTGCAGTTGTAGTTCCACCCTGATTGAGCCAGGTTTGAGTAAGACCCTGCCGGAACACCCAGAGCAGCAGCCAAAAATCAGAAAATTCTGAATCTCCCAGGAGGGCTGACTATGCTCCCAAGGCAATAGAAGCCCCTATACATTTTGAGTGGTTCAGACTGTCCTTCGTGGGGTGAACCAAGCTTGGGTGAATTTTGATCTGCATCACAGATACAGCCCTACAGCACTTCTAAACTTCCCTATTTACTGTACAGGACTCCAACATTTTTCCATCACCAAAGTTCCCCAAGTCAGTGTCTGAATCCTCACTTTCCCTTATACTATACCTTGTAGTTTCTACCTCCCTGTTCACATCTGTCACTTTCCACTCAAAAAAATGATGGGATTTTAGGCCCTTGGAGAAGATACTGTTCAGATGACCTTGAATTATTGAGAAAAGTTGAACAAGAGATTGGGAAGAGTTTAATCACTGAACAAGCTAGTTTTAATTAAATTGCTCACATTGCCTTCATTAGCTTTTGTTGTTTTGTTTTGTTTTTTCAAAATGCTTACCAGAGGAAAACCCCTTGACTGTGAAATGTGAGCCACTGAGCTTCCAGTCTACTTGACTTATACTTATGAGGATGACCTAACCCTATTCCAGCCACTTTGAATTATAATTTTAGAGCTAAAACGTACCAGAGAAAGAATCCATTTGAAGAAACCTATTGCCTAGATGTTAGAATTCACCAAGTAGCCTTATAGTGATCTTTTGGCCCTGTGGTAGGCATTATTTTTAAAAAGTCACTCAATTCTGCAAGCACTAGCCTCTTTTATTTGAAATTTTTAAGGGAAGAGCTCAAAAACAGAAAACCCAAGAGGGTGGGAGAGGAGACCATCTTGGGGATAAGGGAAAGGTGCCCTTTACGTTGGAAACCTCATTTCAAAGGGCAAGATAGGTTAAGATGGCATTCATATTGTGGCAGGAAGGAGTCTAGGATAGTTTTCTAGGGCTTCTTGGTCACTGTTTCAAGGCATCTTGGGGTTTAGGTGTCTCTTCAATCACTTCCAGTGCCTTCATCTGTAGTATGATAGTTGAGGGGAGGGGGGTTATGGCGAGGGGAAGACTCCTGCTCAGGACCAGAAAAAGGAACCAACCTCATTCTCCTAGAATGTTATAATATTAAAAAGTATGGGGGTGGGGAGTGAGAGTGAAAGAGGTGTGACGTGTGAGTTGAATAAAAAGGATTGGACACCCTCATAGACACCCATGAACAGCTGGCTATACCCATATCCAACCATTGGACAACCACTGGACCAACAGTGCTAATTAGGTTTAAATTGACAATTGTATGTCATAAAAAGTATGATGCCTGAGACTATAATTCACTTCCCTTAATATTTTGTAAAGGAGGGGAAAGGATGGGATTTAATTGATTATACATGAACATGTATGCACACATGAACACACGTGATACTGAACAATCCACCTTTCCTGCAAAAAGGAACATGTCACAAAACTGCCTACCCATCGCAGAGTAGGTATGTCTTCCTTCATTTGCAGTCTCTTCCAGATGGGATCCATCGCAGCACCCTCTGTTGAAGTACGCTTATGATCAGGGGCTGCTGGAGGTTCCCTTAGAACTAGACATTTACAATCATAAACCTGTTTGTAGTTAAGGCCGCAAAAGTTATGAGAGTTGCAAAAGGTCAGGTCTGCTCCCTTTCAAAGGGGTACATAAATAGGGTATAATCCTAAAAGTCCACCTGCCATTTTTCATGGAGATTGCTTATCCAATGTCTTGCTACTTCCTGATATTAAACCAAGGGGTAGCTTAGTATTCAGATGTTACACTCAGAAGCACTTCTGTATTAGTCCACTCTTTCTTCCTTTTCCTTCCTTTTGTAAAATTTCTATTGACAATCTGCTTTTGAGGGAGGTGGGGGAAGGAAGCAGGAGTAGGAATTTATTTAGTACACTAATATGAGCAAGTTTTGAAAGTCAAAATGTAGAACCAAGATGAAAATGATATCATTGAAAACCAATCTTCCACTGATTTCTAGCAGGGGACAGGAAGTGACCCCCCCCATAATCTTCCAACAAGGAAAAAAAACAAAAGTTGATAGAACACTTCCCTTTAATCTCTGTAGAAAGGGAATGAGAGATTTCAGCTAGGTTTTCATTCTCAAAAAACATTTCTTTTCCCTGTACACACAAATCCCCCAATAAAGTAGAACAACTCCTTGGGGATGAAGCCCTATCACCCAGTTTAAAGCTTTTCTGGATACACCAGAGGCCCAAAGGATTTGGAAAGAAAAACTTAGTACTACCATTAGCAATGCAAAGGCAACCATCTAGTCCCAGCCTTCTGAATTTATCTTTTTCCTCTGCAGGGGAAAAAATCCTTTTATTCCCAAAAATTCTGCCCCTGCCTTTAAGAGATTAAGTGAATCGAGAACTTGGGGGACAACAATAAAAGACCAAACCCTGCCTCTTAAAGGTTGCTTGCTAGCAGCCTTGAGAGGAATCCCCTTCTTCCTGAGGAACACCAACAGCCCCTCAGCCAACCTTGAGGTCCTCATCTGCTAACTCTGTACTGCTAATCAGATGAGGGATTCATGGGCTTTGGTCACAAAGTGAGGGTCTCTTGGACAGTGGCATTAGAGGTTTCCCTCTGCTCTTGGAACTGGGCTTTAACAAGCGCTAATAATATCTCTGAGTGTCATTTATGCAGTCACAAGGCAAGCCTTGGATAGGGAAGGGAATAAGTATAATAACACTTACTATGTGCCCTCCATTGTATTACCTGATAACTAGCCCCATTTTGCAGAAGAATCTGAGACAGGCAGAGTTTAAGTGACTTGCCCGAGGTCACACAGTAAGCGTTTGAGGCCAAATTTTGAACTCATGTT